CACTGGGACTAAGTGGCTAAGCTCGCTGCCAGCAAAAGAACGTGCCATGGCTAGGCTCTCTTTGAAGAAAATCTGCAGAAAAGTCACTGCCACAAAGCGGCTAGCCTCGCTGCCAGCAAAAGAACGCTCCATGGCTAGGCTCTCTGTGAAGAAAGTCTCTGCAGCTTTCAACTTGTTCTTTTCCAAATTCACATTGCCAAGCCGATGCAAAGTCACCGCGACTGAGTGGCTAGGCTTGCTGCTGGCACAAGAAAGCTTTATGGCTAGGCTCTCTTTGAAGAAAGTCTCTGCAGCTTCCAACTTTTTCTGTTTCAAATTCACTTCGCCAAGCTCATGCAAAGTCACCCCCACTGAGAGGCTAGGTTCGCTGCCAGCACAAGAACGCTCCATGGCTAGGCTCTCTTCGAAGAAAGTCTCTGCAGCTTCCAACTTATTCTGTTTCGAAGCCACTTCGCCAAGCTCATGCAAAATCACCGCGACTTTGCGGCTAAGCTCGCTGCCAGCACAAGAACGTTTTATTATAGCTAGGCTCTCTTTGAAGAAAGTCTCTGCAACTTCCAACTTATTCTTTTCCACATTCACAGTGCCAAGCTCATGCAAAGTCAGTGCAAGGGCATAACTGGGATGCTCGATGTCAACCATGGCTTGGACTAACATAATTGACTCAAGACTCTTGCGCTCCTCATCTTGAGGATGTTGGTGCAACAAAGAAGCGACAATGCCCACAATGCCCTTTTGTGGTTCACCATTTTTTGTTGTCAGGTGAGTGAGGGCACGCGTGACTCCTGCTTTGAGACGTTCAAGCCTTGCACGAATACGGTCCACATTCTGTTTGTGCCGTGCACTGCAGTGCATGCAAAAGTCCCAGTTGCACTCTCTGCACCCTAGCCGACGCGCTGCTTTGGGAAACCTCCGGCTGCAAGAATCACAAGACCAGCCATCGCCGAAGCCTTCCTGCTCAACAAGCTCGTGCATCCAAGGGCACGTTTTGTCCCCAGCAAACCAAAGAGCGCCATGCTCATCCATAAGCCGTGTCACCCTCGCCAAGAAGCTCTGGAGCCTATCAGCTGCACCTTGAGGCAAGTTGGTCTCTGCAACCTCTTGAACTCCAGACCACCGCGGCGAGCTGGGCTTCATGTTGGCACTAGTGGGCCCCGTGCTTGTCATCTCAGGGTACCCTCTGGTCACCTCTGTGCAGGTACCCAGCTCCACCAACGCCACCTCCGCCTCCCTCGCGGCCCGCCAAAAGACATAGGCCTGCTGCAGCATCTGTTGCGGGTCCGCATGGACAGAGCCCGCCTCATCGGCGATCTCTTGAAACAAACCCGGCACATCATCAGGCTCAGGGTCTCCAAGCTCAGGTTCTTGAAAGTTCTCCTCCAGCAGATTTATGAGGTCGATCACAACCTCCAGAATCGCTGCCGAAATGTCAAGCTGTTGCCGGAAACTGTTGCAGTTGGTCGCATCCTGGGCCAAAGACTGCACCTCTCCCAAGAGATGGTAGTATCTCTCAAAATACCGGATTTCTTCACGCCATGCTGGGTTGTCAGCCATGTGCTTGGGATCTGGGTATCTATATAGATGAAACTCGTCGTGTGCATCCGTGCGTGATTGATGCAAATGCAAATGCATGATCATGCTGAGATAATGACAAACTACAGTAGCGGCAGTAAATCTCCACCTTGCGACATGAGAGATAGGTCTAAATCTGCATGCTCAAATCACCCCTCCACGCAAGCTATAAATATATGTATATATATATATGTGTGTGTGTGTGTGTACTACCATGCTTGGACAATCTTGAAAGACTTCGAGCAAAGCATAGCGCGCAGAAAGTGTCCTCGCCCAATACTGGATGCAAAATGCTTGAAACAATAAAGGACATTCATCTCAAACATCCTCAAACCCTCTGCCAGCCCATGCTTACTTGGCACAAGCAATGCAGACCGCTAGACCGCTTTGCAAATCGGTTCTCTGGGCTTTTCGGCAGAAACACGCAACTTCGGCATCTCCGAACTGCTTCTTCTAGAACTAGCGCGTGCGAGAGAGAGAGAGAGGTCCTGCTTGGCGTGCCCCCTGCGCTGAGCGTTGCAGGTCTTCCGAATCGGCCGAATCGGCACGAGCAGTGTTGGTGCCTTCTGTGAGGTCATGAGTCATTGGGCTATGGGTCAAGAACCTCCCCAAAACTCTGGAGTCACGGCCTCTTGAATGAAGGGTCTTGCGAGCCTTGTCGCAGTGATAGTCACACCCTCGACACCTTGCTGGAACGTCTTACATCGGAGAAGAAAGGCCTCAATGATGGCCACTCCAGTCCCGGTTTTTTACACCGACCAACCCGGGAAAATTCATGGGCTACGCCGCCCCACCAAAGAAACCATTCCAAACGAGAGACCGGTTTCAGATCCAATAGGTCCGCCCATTTCACCCGACAGTCTTCCGTTTTGACCTCCGACCTGGTGGCCAGCCATGGGGGGTCTCTGCACGGCTGCAGGGGTCAAGCCAACGGCATCCTGTCAGAAGCTAAGGGTAGGGTCCGGCTCGAAGGCTCGAAGGGTCTGGCTCCAGCAAAAATAGGTGATCAAGGCGAAAAGGTCGCAAGTCGCAAACTTCTTGGGGTGTTATCCTGTTACAGTCAACTGTGCACTGTGCAATTGTTGACTTTGGGATTTTGACTTTGGTGGATGCTTCTGGAATGCCACCGCCTTCCTAGTGGAAAGCGTCCTGCAAAAGCCAAGCCGTAACTGTACAAAAAGACCGATGACGGGCTCACAGCCCCCGCTTTCAGTGCTTCAGAACCCGCCTGCGACGGGTAGAATGTCCCGTGCGGCTCGAAAAGGGGGGAGGGCTTCTCTGTGAACTGGAAAATGTGAAGGTCTCACTTCAGGTGCTTTCCTCCGTGGCATGCTGTGATTACACAACCCAGGAGGCAGGTCGATGGAAGAAGGCCCTACCGTGTGCGAACCCGCGCTTCATACAATGCCATGGGATGTGCATTGGACACCACATCCCACTTGCCTTACATGGTCAGGTCACCGGAAAAAGGGAAGCAAGCTCCCCATGCCGATGCCCGATGCCCGGTGCCGCACTGGCTCAGGGAGTCGGACTCGACTCAAGGACTCGAAAGCGGAGGAGAAACCCGGTCCTCATCCGTCACCTGGTACTTGCTTGCCCTCAGGTGTCCAAATGCTTTGGCAGACACTCGCCGGCATGTTTGGGGAAGGCTTTGGCCAACAGGAGGGGGAGTCCAAAGATATACATAAATTAAAAAATATATATATATACATATAATATATATATATATGGCATTCTGTGGCACCATCTTTGGAACAAAGCCAGCCTCCACCTCCCCAACTCCACACACCCACCCGGCCGGACCCCAAACTCCCGCCTGTGGCGTTCAACAAAGGCGCTGCACCTGGGTCGGGTGGTCTGTTCGAGATATATCCGAAGACTTCCTCTCTGGTGGGCAACGTGGACTTCCAGTCGAAAATCCACCGATGGTGTTGCTATGCTGCTACATTAAAGGCATCACATCACTACTGTTTCGGAGGACCGCCATGCTCAGTGACCCAGGTATCACCTAGGCAAACTATCAAGGTGCCTGGGCACCAACGGGTTGGCAGAACGCGGCGGAACGCATGAGAACGGATGCCGCCTTCACCGACGAGTCTGAGGAACTCACCAGGATTCCAGCATTGAAATCTTTGGCACGGAACCGCTTCCAGCCTGGCCAGGTCTTGGGCATCGGAAGCAGCCAGAACTGAACACAGCTCACCACACCCTGCCGGAAATTGGCCAGTGCCATAGGGCCTCACTCTGGGCCATCAAAGGGGTGTGCTGGCGGTTTGGGTTGCTGCAACCCTCCGGAAGGCCAAAACCATCAACAGACCAACATAATCGAACCCCGCCTGAGTTGGACCTCAGGTGTGGCAAGCGCCCCGGCGGCCCAACACGCTGTGGGCCTCCGATGTCCTGGCCAGCACGGCGGATGGTCGAGTGGTTTTTGGCAGGGCGGCAGCTAAAGGAAAAAAAGGTTCTACAATGTCCTACTCCGGCCCTGAACCTCTAACAGTCTCAGAACCTTGTGAACCTTCAGGCGATGTCTTCCTTCAGTTATCGTCTGCAATCCGCACAGCTTTTTGGTGCTGCTTTAACCTAATTCACGAAGTGGCCAATACCATCCGAAGCTTCAAGCATGAAAAAGGCCAAAAGTCTCTGGAACCTTGAGGTTCATGCCACTCAACCGACTCACCCTTGAAAAGGCTGCAATCTAAAAAGGGCCCTCAAAACATCCACTCCTGTTTCACCACATCTGGCGGCAGCGTCGGCCACGCACCTTCTTCAGGCACGCCTCAAGCGTCACAACAAGGGAGAGTGCTCGGAACAAGCTGTGCACAAAAGGACTCTAATACTCGAGATGAACGGAAGCTCCTGTCACCATGGGCAAGGTGTGTTTTGATGAACCCGATGCATACTGTTTCTTGCTTCAGAGATCTTTGGAGGTCTTATATATCTTATAGATATATATATATATAAAGCAAGTGGATGCAAGTGGGATAAGGAGGACTGCTCAGGCCCTGTCTCTTTGGAAGGTCACAACACACAGTTGCCGTACTTGCGACATGCCCGGCTCCACTTGCAGAAGCTCAGGCTCAAGCAGCAAATTCAAAAGGGAGCTCATCTAATACTATATGGAGTGATCCCAAAACATGTCTCAACTTCTATCAGCTTTATTCTATCTGTTACTGTGCCACCTTAGGAGCACCTTATTAGGACTTTTTGCGCTGCAGGAAGAAACATCCACGGATCAGGCTGCTGAATTAGTCAGGGCGTTAGGCGTTCAGCAGGGTTTATTGGGTGTTCTTTCCAGCCTGTTTGTGGCTGTTGGTTGGTTTCCACCACAAGCTACTCAGCTACTATTTTTCGATGAAGTGAGTCGAACGTCGGAGATTGGACCCTGGCTCCAGCTCCACCAAGGGGTGGGACGGTGGGGGATGGTCGAGGACCAGGAGGTTTCACGAATCTTGGGCCGCCCAGGCGAAACTCCATGAGCTTGCGCACAGCTGCCCGGGCTTCCTGTGTTTCGGCATGAGGCTCTTTGGGTTTCTGGGCATTTGTACGTCAGGACGCGCATTCAACATCACCTTGATCTACATATGTCTACATATTTGCGACCACCATCATAAGTTCAGAACAAGATACTGTTGTTCGCCTTCATGCCGTCTGCACCGTGGTGGGAAAAACCGTCGTCGCGTCTGTGTGATACAGCATAAATACATTGCACATCACTACTTCCGTGAAAAAATAGACCGCAGTCCCTGGCCCACAACGGAAAAGGGGTCGGATCTAGCAGTTCTCAGCATCTACAGCAGTGACCAAGAATCAGCATGAGCATTCTGGATTTAGAGCACTGAACCTCCCAGTCTCGCAGCTGTCACGACCGGTCCTGAGGCACACCACAGCGGCCCAGCGGACACTGCCGCCCGCGCCGGAGCCAAGCCTGCAGGCAGTTTCCAAAGAGAGAAATGGGCATGGTGAAGCGCGAGCCTCACTGCAAGAGCAAATCCCACAGCGCAAAAAAACGGTCTTCTCAAGGTTTTTTGACCCATTGACTTGCACTTGGTCAAAGTCACCCGGCCACACTGTAGATCTCTGTAGGCTCTCTCTTCGCATCTAGTCTTCCTGGACATCTTGCGACCCCGAAACGCCCCCCAGACGCCCTGACCGACCGGCAGACCGGCCTTGATGCAGTCGCCATGGAAGCAATGCCCACACGGCAACTGCCGCACCGAGGCGCCCGCCTCGGCACCGCCCAAGCAAATCGCACAGCTCCAAACCTGGGCAAAAGCCGCACACGCCGCACCCACTGACCCGTGACCCGGCGTAGGGAATTGTTGAAAGGATGGACTATAGAGGTTCATGCTGGTTCATCCGCTGCTTGGGTGGGGGGAAAATGCCACTTTCCAACATGTTGAGTCCTGAAGCAAGATGCGGCCTATGAAGTGGAGGATCAGTTGTCAGCTGAAGCGGGACCTTTTAGGACTATGCTGAAACACGCATCGGCTCAAAGCCTGTACTGGAAACAAGCAAAACATAGAAAAGCCATCCTGCGGAAAGCCAAGATGGACCTTTTCAACGGTTGTGGCAGGTGGCCCCAATTCGACTACGTTTCATGTTGAATTTTGCAGTTTCAATACATATATATATATATAAAGAAGCATTCAACTCACTTTTGATCCACTTCGCAGCGATATTGTCAACATTAAATCGTCCAAGGAACAAACACAATAGTCGACTAACCGTCAGACCAAAAGGTTTCCCTACCTTTTTGGAGGGCGACCCATCACACCCGGCCACACCCTGGGTGAGTGGGATCCCCCGACTGCTCCACATTTGGTGAGCCACACCTCCTAACCACTGGTGGACCGACATGAAAAAATTAAAAATGAACGGTCATTTTCTTCGCTTCATGGCTTTCATTGGTCCCCTTCCAGGAGCCACGGCTCCCGGGTGGTGAGGGGGGGAGCTTGATGAAAAACACTGCGGAATCAAAGATACATTGAAGCTTCTTATCTAACGGGCCGTAGAGTCAAAGAAGCATTCAACTCACTTTTGATCCACTTCGCAGCGATATTGTCAACATTAAATCGTCCAAGGAACAAACACAATAGTCGACTAACCGTCAGACCAAAAGGTTTCCCTACCTTTTTGGAGGGCGACCCATCACACCCGGCCACACCCTGGGTGAGTGGGATCCCCCGACTGCTCCACATTTGGTGAGCCACACCTCCTAACCACTGGTGGACGCAGTTCCCTGACAATAGTCGACAGGAAAAAACGAAAAATGAACGGTCATTTTCTTCGCTTCATGGCTTTCATTGGTCCCCTTCCACGTCCCCCTGTTCTTCCGACAGGAGGCTCAAGTGTTGGAAAGGCTGGGCGTAAAAGAAAGTTCCTGTACACAGTCAAGTAAGGCTTCAGTTTCGGATCTTGTGGGGGTAATCGCATCTGGGCCAGGACTGCAAGGCCCTCATTGAGGTATAGGCGGGCACTTTTTTGCGTGTGCCACCGCCCCTGTACAAGTATCCAATCGAGGTTTTGGCGCTTTTGAAAGAAAAACGTGGCCCCTCCTCGCCTGAGCGAGTACGGGCGGAACTGGAACGAAGCTACTCCAAGCTTCTCTAAAGCGTGGTTGAACAACTGTCGCCACTTTGGAGGCGTTGAAGTCATGGGCGCCCCTGCCGGCACTCCCTTCTTCCACTCTTTGACCAGATGAACAATGGGCTCAAGCCCTAACACCACACTTTCTGCGCCATGCCGCTTCCCGCCTTTCGTGAACCCCAAGCTGATTACAGCTTGAAGAGCACCTTTTGCACAATCAATGTGACTAGAAAGTAAGCCAAGGACTTCACCCGTCCGCAGCATGCAGTAGTATCCTATCAGCAGTGAAAGCGCAAAGGAATGGTGGTTGCTAAAAATTGCCCATCCGGCCATAGCCTGGACAACATGTTCAGGCAAGGGTGGCGCCCTACTTGGTATTTCATTGTGTTGCCAAGTACGCAGGAGCCTCCAGGCTGCCGGCATATGGTTACGGAGGCCAGGTTGAGTGTCCTGCAAGCCTGCAAGCGTGTCACACGCTTGGCCGCGTCCTTTGCCGCTAGACCAGAGATGCTCGAGGTAGTCACAAACCAAGGGGTCAAGACGACGCTTGTCGGTAGGGAGGTGAAGGTTCTCCGCTTTGAGAAACTGCAAAAACCCATCAACAGCTTTGTCGTATCTCTTACGCGTGGCAGGTTGCACAGTCAGCCCTTTGAGGCTACCGAGTTGTTTCCGCATCTTTGCTCGCTCCTGTTCTGTTCCTCCTTCTAAAATTCGCTTAGGCATTTCTAAACTTGGTCTTGACACGAGACCCCCAACGGCTTGGCTTGTCCGCCGGGTTCGTGTCGGTCGACACATATGCCCAAAAGAACTGCGAGTTGGAACAGAGAACAAGAGCGTTGATGCGCGACATAGTTGCCCTCAGGCGCCTAGAGCTGGTTCTGCCACGCGTCAGAGCGTGCAGACATACCAATGAATCCGTGAGATGCAACATGCGGCGGTTGAAGTGCCCACAATGCTCGATACGCCAACGCACACTGTTGAGGATCGCCCTGAGCTCGAGAGAGTTGATGTGCTCCTTCCCGCGCCGCCATTTCCATCCGGTGACCACCCGCCACCGCCAGAGCTTGGCTGGGATGGTGGCCCTCAAACGATGGAACTTGACAAGCTGGGTGCTTGGGGTACTCAGCGGTATATCCTCACCCTTCATGCTCACCATGTTGCACAACTTGAATGCCAAGTCCTGCTCTGACCCTGCCCCTGGTTGAGCGCGTCGCAGAGGCAACCTGACTAGCCGTCCTGGATGGTCTCAGCGGCACCGGGACGGGTCTTATCGACCACATCTTGGGGGGTCATGGGTGTGTCACCCACGAGGCGTGAGATCAACTGGCTTAGAAGCCATCCGACCACCGGCACGCTCCAAGAATTCCCAAGCAATGTAAGCCGCCGATCCAGGTACCCGTCCTCCTTGCGTTCACTCTTGGAGCAGCATCCTGCCGTATAGTATAATAGTGGACTGGAAATCCAAGCATGACCTCGCGTTCGGCGACTGATGGCACGCGAACCTCCCCCTGGCGATTGACCAAGCCACGCCGGTCCATATATTGGTATGGGGGGAACCGATGAAGGTCATCACCCCAACGTTTGAGCTCATGAGCGGCACACTCACGCAACCCTGCTGGCTTCCTACCGGGAGTTGATGACGGCCTGGAGGTTGCAAAGGTAGGGAAAGATGTGGTCGGATCCACTTTGTCCCAGCCGGCCTCCAAGACCTCTGCTAGCTCCTGCCTCGCAAAAGGCATCATACATTGACTGCCTGCGTCGTGTCAAGAGTTGCACCTTCCCCCCTCAACAAGCTCCCAAGTGCACCAATACAAGCGCGGCCTGTGACACCAAGTAAGGTTCCAGCATCGATATGCACTGGTTGTTCTCCGAAATCTCTGCTCATGTGGTCCCTGTCAACATGGTCCATGGAGCTCACACTCTCCATCAAGGTATGCACTTGGCACCACCGAAAGTGCCCCTTGACCAGCTGCGTGATCCTTGAGACGTGAACGTACAAGCATGACCGTGCGTCGCGCAATGCCCCCCTTGCGATCAGCGTTTAGCCCCGAGACGCCTTGACACGGCGGTCCGGCACCAATCAAGACCAATGCTGCCTGCGAGAGCTTCAGGCTCCAACCCCTGACGTCTTCATCCTGCACTGCCGCCACGTCATCACAGTGGAGGACTCCTGGATAGTGCGACTCGACAACCCTACGCGCTGTTGCCTCCTTTTCAACAGAGATGTACCCCAGGACAGAGACTCCTTGTAGCTCAGTGGCCACTCGAAGCGCTCCTATCCGTCGAAGAGCCCTATCACTACCACCTGCAACGAGTCCAGGGGCTGAAGCCTCTGCCCCCGCAAGCCACCTGCCACAGCCATGCTGCCCACCGAAGTCAGGCCTGCTGATCGGCATACTCCACCCCCGCTCAGTGAGGCGTCGGAACAAGTCACCATGGGGTGCACCTCAGTGCGGAAGTCCATTCGCACCAGCGGCAAGAGACAGAGGTACCTGACGAGCTCCAACCTGCGCTCCGGTGGCAAGACCTGATACCTAGCCTCCACATTGTTGAAACTCTCAATGAAACGCCACACCGCGTTGAGGGCACCCAACATCGGTCTCCGAAACATGGAGAAGTAGACCAGGCCCCCGCAAACGACCTGCATCTGTCGCTGACTGACCTGCCGTTGCTGCATCAGGGTGATCGCCAGGCTGAAGTACTTCTCCTGTTTAGCCTCCTTGGGTATTGCAACTCCACGGAGGCCATCCACCGTTGCACCCTGGAGTTCACACCTCGACGAACGCTCCACGGCCTTCTTCACGTTCCTCGGGACCTCCCAGCGCTCATACTCCTGGCGCAGTGCCAGAATCCCTTCCGGCACCGTTCCTTCGACTTCAACCATGCCAGTTGCAACCACCTTCTCCAGGACGTCATAGTTGTCCAGGTAGACACGCCAACAGGGGTTAGCCACGGTGAAGCTCCTATCCTTCCGCAGCTCGGCACCGTCCACGTGTGCTGCCCTACCGTCAACTGTTGACCAACGCACTATAGGTTCCTGTGCACATGCTGTGCAATGCTCATCGAGTTAAGGAATCCCATGGGCAGGACCCTTGACGCAAGATAGGTGGTATGCCCTTGAAGTTCAGGTGGTAAGACATGACCAGGGACAACCTTGTTGAATGCCAAGAATTTTGTCCAGCAGCGTGGTACCTTCATGGTATAAAAAAAGCACTTCACATCTTCAGATGAAATCAATAGGTTCTCATCAGGCTGGAGGAAATAGGGGTTCATCATTCCCCACGATGGGAGCGTGTCAACGTCTCCGCCCAGGGGTTCACACAACTCATTCAATGGTACCAGATTCATAATAATCAGCCTGCAAATCTCAACATTCTCAGGTGTCCACTCCTCCTTAGAAACGCCAAATAGTCCGTTCAGGAGTGGGGTGCTCCCGATATGGAAAACTTCCGACTCTTCTAGATAACAGCAGACGCCCGACTCAACAAGCCCTGTGCACATCTCACCCCAGGCTGCTTCCTCTACCATAACCTTGGGTTGTGAAACCTTACCCCAAAGATGGCAAGGTTTGAGGAACCGATCGAAAGACTCAACATACTCCCGACAGCCCAAGGAGCACACCTCTTCTAGCGGCACCGCTCCAATCTCCTTTGGCAGCGCCGGCCCGATGTTTGCCGATGTGACCCATTTCGCAACTTTCACCTCATCACCCTTGTAATCTATACCCCGAACAGCGAAAAACGTTGTCCAGTCAACTCCCACGCTCTTCAGTCCAAGCTCACAAAATCGTTCAACCTCGATGTAAAGCCCCCTCATCACTTTTTCTTGTAGTTCTGAAGCCTTTGTATCATTGCAAAGGGGTACTCCCCAAAATGAATTCAACCCAACACATACGCATCTCATCCACTGCCAAACATCCTCGAACCCAGAAGGCCACAAGTTCCTAAAATGCTCAATGGAGGTGGGCAAAGGAAAGACAGATTTACTGATCCCCTTGCCCGTGGTCTGGCTGCGAAGTGGTGAAACCTCCATGAACCAGCGAACCAGTAGTCCCCCGAGTTCCGAGATTGATCGACCGACGAAATTCTCTCCCTCGCTCACTTTTTGCGCTGACCTCACGACGGCGTCAGGCGCCTTCACCTTACCCTCTTCGCTCACAAATGGCGGGGGCATCGGTGGGAATTGTCGTAGTGCATCGTCTCCCAACGAGGTCGACGTCGTGGTAGGCTGAACTACAACAGCCTGCATGCTTCCATCAAGCCCGACTGCACCGGTACCCAGTGCTCCAACCAGGTCTCCAACCCGTTCAGGAGTCCCGTCTCCCGGTAGTGCAATGCATCCCGTCATACTCAATCTCTCTGCCCTCCCGTCACCAGGAGTGCTCACTTGCTCTGCTGATCCTCCTTGGGGTGTGGTTTGCCTTTCTCCTTGCCTCCTTTTCCTTTGCCCTTGTCGCGGCCCTTGCCCTTGCTTTTGCCATCCGCTTTCCCGCCTCTCGCTCACCCCTCGGGAAAGGATGCGAGCATGCGGGTCCGGGCCTCGGTGTGTGCTGCACGTTGCGCTGAAACCAATTCTTCTTGTCCTGTCATGCTCAACAGATCGCCCGGCCCGATTTCTAGGCGTTGCGTCACTGACCAGTGACTCCCCCATGAGGCCCGCTTCTACCGCTTTCATCCTCTGGAGTAAAACGTCTAGGGCCTTGGAGGGCCTTGCCTTCAACATCATGTCGGCGGCCATTGCAAGCGTCAAGAGCTCCCGGGCGGCCGGGCCTGTGGCCCGCTTCTGGAGGCGCTGCCTCATGTAAAGCATCGCCACTGGACCCAAGGAGCCAGCCATCTGTTCGGCTCCCGCTTCTTCCAACAATTTTCCACGCATCTTTGTAAGGGCTTGCCATGCCAACGCACCAGGAGCCCGTTGGGCTACCCGTTGTATCTTCGTTTCCCCTTCGAAGAGCGTGTCCTCCACTTCCTCGCCAAAGTCGCTGGTCTCCCTCGACGAGGAGCTTCCGCTCCCGGAGCTCGTCTTGTCCTTGGTCTTGCGTTTTGCAGCTTTTTTGGCACAATGAAGAACTCTTCGACGGACCTTTTCTCTCCTGTCCAGCCCTGTCCCCGCGAACAGGGCATCGTAGTCCTTCATAGATGCCAGGCGCGGCTGCCTCCCATCCAGCTTGGCGGATCTGCTGCTGCAGGTAGAGCTCGACCTCCTCCTCTTGCTGCTCTTGGCCTTCTCGGCCTTGTCCTCTTTCTCCTTTGGGCTCGGACTGCGATGCTTCTCCTTCTTTTTCCTCTTCGGGCTCCTTCCTCTGCTCTTCTTTTTCTCTTTCTTCTTTCCCTTCTTTCGACTGGGGCTCCGACGTCTGTCCTCGTCCTCTGCGGTCTTTCTTCCTCCATCGTCTGGATGATCTCCTCGAGCAGGAGCCAATGCGGCGTCCCGAGCACGCAATGCGGCAAGCTCGTCCAAGCCTGGATCGACTGGGTCGACTGCTTCTAGACTTCGCATCCAGCCTTCCTCTGCTCCTAGCCTTGAAGGACGCTGCATCTTCAGGCCATGCACCAAGTCCTCCGCTATGCGTTCGCCCGTGCACGCGCTCGGGCAACGGTGAACCCTGATAGTGGTCCCGGGTCTCCCGCTCTGGTATTTGAGCAGGCCCTCTGATGTCGTCCCTGTCACGCTGAGCAGGTAGTGAATTGCTTCCGGCTCCACGTCCACTCACTTCAAAGTGCCAGCAACCTTCATCCTGGCTCCGTAGTATGAGGCGTCGGTGAAGGCGATGAAGGACCCGATCTCCATGTCCTCGACTCCTATCTCGTGGACTGCAACCTCGCCGCCCTCCTTCCAGAGCTCCCGAAGACCAGGAGCTCCGTCCACGGGCCCATGAACAGGCCTCCTCAACACCCCTATAGCTGCCGGCCTCAACCTCACTCCTCTTGCTCTTGCCTTGGCTGCAGCTTTCCCTTCTGCTCTGGCTTTTGGGGCCATTGCTAATGCCAACCTGCAAGTCGACGTTGAACTCCTCGTTCACGATGCTTGACTCCTTTCGAGCCTCGTCGCCTTTTCTCAGGGGCGCCTGCCTCCGAATGCGATCTCGACCTCGAAGGTGGTCCTCGTCGGCCTCGAGCGTCGCTGCTATGATAGCCTGGTGGGGGATGGCTTGGTGACCTGGGTCTCCTAGGCGGGGATGGTGGTTTTGGCAATGTTTGCTGACCGTCCCTTTCGGGGCCGGTACAAGGCCAAGGGGTCCTCGTCGCTCTGGGACCTCCGGTGGCGGTGGTGGTACCTCGGCTGGTAACTCACTGGGAGGTTCAACACCGGCCTCCTCCTCCGGTGCTGCCTCAACTGCCTCTTCCTTTGGCGCTGGGCTCTTCTCCTTTGCTGCCTTCTTCTCTCTCCTTCGTCGCCTACGATCCTTTTGCTCAGGACCTCGGCTTATATGCTTCCTCTTCCTCTTCTTTTTTGGTTTGTCTGTCTCTTCACCTTCTGCTTTGACCACACCTTCAACCCCTTCGGGCTGCAGTTCCCCTACTCCGGGGGGGTGCCTGCTCTCCCTTCTTCTCGTCCTCCTCGGTCTTCACGAACTCCACGGCCTCCTTCTCCGACTCAAGCAACCGACCAACGACAGGGGCCAGAGGCTCCCCGAGTGGCCCGGCGGTCTTGGGTGCTGTCGCCGCCTCAGAAGGTCCAGATTCCTGCCGCTCCTTCTCAAGGATAGGTGCCGCTTCCTCCGCAAGGTCCGTAAGAGCCCCCACGCACGACCGCAGGATTTCCAACCCACGACTTTCTTGGCTCCTCACCAAGAAGCCACCGCAGTATAGGTCCCGAATCCGGCGGATGGACCTGCAGCCGGCGCAACTTACGGCACCCTCTTCGTGCTCGAAGGTCAAGCACAAGCGGCACCGAACCATTCAAAGTCCAGCTTGATGAAAAACACTGCGGAATCAAAGATACATTGAAGCTTCTTATCTAACAGGGCCGTAGAGTCATTGCTTGGGACTTCACAGCTCAGGCATGGGCTTCAGCTTCAGCTGAACAACTGTGATCACTCTCATCAACCTTCATTTCCTGACTGCGACAACGAATCCGCCCATTGGCGCGCATCTTGCAACCTGATCCATGAGCGCACCTGCCCGACAAGTCCCAGTCCGACCACCAAACGACCAACTCTTGAACAAAAGTGTGCCTAATTATGTATATGGAATCATATGGCCTATGTTGATGTTTTGGCCGCCCATTTAGGCCCATCAAACAACCACACGGACCCCCGCAGCCACCCCCACCAGGCGGCCACTCATCCACTGAAGGCAAACGAGGAGCCGAATCCACAGAAATGTCCTGGGCAGCTGACTCTTGGGGGGCACACTGGTAGGGGAATCAGCTTGCGGTAGAACTGTTGTGTGTGTGTGTGTGTCAAGGAGTTTTCTTCCATGCTGGTTTTGCTTCGCACTTTGGCCTGCGATTCAGGGGGCGTCTTACATCACATCTAGATGCCTTGGAAGTCCATAAACCGGTCAGCCCTGACTGCATGGGACCAGCAGGTTGGGACCCAAAAGCCTTGATGGCGTAGAGTACAACCGCATCTCTGCACCAACGTCTCCTCCGGTTGAAGGAACCAAAATTTCATCTCCAACACTGACAGGCAGTTGTGCACCCCAAATGTTAATTGTATGGCCAACTCCACTGGCAACCTTCTCTGCTCCGTGCTGGAGCGCTTGTCAAAGCTGCTTTTGGCACGAACGGAAGATGAGCTCGAACCGACCAAGGTTTCTCCCCCTCAATGGCCCCGCCGCCACCTGTGAGATGAGCGGCTTTGGTGGATGCAGCAAAGCTGTCTATGTACAGGTTCATGCGCAGCTCCTTCGGATCTGTAATGGAGCTGGTGCTCCTGGCCAGTGGGGCGGGGAGGAAGAGGGTCATCCAGAATTGGCGATTCAACATGTGAGTTGGTTGGCACATGTCTCATGTTCCCTCACGGTTCCCATAATAAAGGTACATATAGAAACGTATGCCTGTCGACCCGTCCGACCTACCAAGGCCGTTGTTTAAAGCAGCATGACCGGTTCACCAGTGCAAGGCGGGGGAACCGGCCCCGGGCCGGTTCTGCACAGCAAAAGATATACGGTTTGCCTGGTCACCCTCAGTCTTTCTACACTCCCCGAAGCCTCAGCACAAAGTTGCGCATGTTGCCGTCTCCAAGCATTTGAAGACCCCAGAGCTCATCCGCCTTGATGCGTGCAATGCGCGCGGCCTCCTGGCATCCACCAGAGCGAAAATCCGAGGCTTCCAAGACCAATGGGCTTCATGAGATCCACGCAAGTGTACAAAGGCAGTGCGACCACCGGACCTCATGATGTCATGATCCAACAGCCTGAAACACTTGATCCAACTCTAAACACACGGAGCACCATGTTACAACCTCAGCCCCAGGCACTCCAAGGCACACCCAGAATCCTTCTAGATTCCCTAGATGATCTCCTAGCCTAGCAGTTTGCGCCTTAAATACCGTAAAAAGTACAATGTATGAGGCCTTCGGAACCAGGTTCAGTTGTCCAAGCACACTGGCCACAAAAATATGTAAACGCAGGCAACACGTGGTTTACAAGCCTTCCAGGACGTGCTGCCACGTCCGTTCCTCTTTGCTCCTGCCGGACCTCCTCCGGAACCTCGATCAACACGGGCTGGGTGGAGACCACGGTCCAATCTTCGCAGCGATCCTTGCTTGGCGAAGAAAACAAAGGGATTGGAGAAACAGAAGGCCTGAGGTGAAGGATGGCCAACCGTGTCATATCTGACGATAAGGGTCTGGCTGAGGTGTTTCACAATGCAAAAGTCCGAGCAAAAAACTGGGAACCCCATCCCTGAGCGCCAAACCAGAAGGTCGCTGGTCTCCGAAAAGCTCCCGGCCAGTTGCATGAAGGGGGCGCCTGGAAGACACAGGAAACCATCTGGACTGGCGCATCAAAGACCACTCGCCTAGGCACCTCTCTGAGCTGCCTAGTTAGTAGCCTTGAACATCCGGAACGATCAAGCCAAAGAATCGCTTCATTGCGATCCAAAACACTGGTTCAAAAATCCATGCCAAAACCGTTTCCGCGGGGGGGGACCATGACAACCCGCAGTTTGACTCCCATGCCTTCTGCGAAGTGCCCAAACAATCCAAAGACCGCCAGCAGTTTCCCTTCGTCCTGATGGTATTTCGTCTGCTCGGGACCAAGCTCACACCTTTGCTTTGAGAAAACAACATGGAAAAAAGATGCTTAAAACAGCCTTGCTTTCGCCCCCGCAGTCCTCATCATCACAAAGCACGAAGCGTGAGCGCGCCACCCCACCATTGCGGTAATGCTCCTGAACGGCCGGAGATCAGGAACCGTCGTCCTGTCCTTTTCTCTATATGTTTCTATCCCTCGCTCTATCTCTATCTCTATCTCTTATCTCTTATCTCTTATCTTAATCTCTCTTATCTTAATCTCTCTGCCTCTATTTCTGTCACGAATGCGAGGCAGAAGAGCAGAAGAGCAGTGAAACACATGGCACTTCACAGGCATTTCATCGGCTACTACGGCGGTACGGAGCAACATTCGTTGTTCGGTTCTTTGAGTCTTTTTAGTCCGGCACGGCTCCAAGCCTGGTATGAATTTATGTAAATATGCTTCAACACCGGCACCCGGGAAGGTCCCAAAACCAGTCAGCACGAGCTTGGCATCGCTCGGAAGCAGCTCCTTTCGGAGTCTGGCCCCATGGAACTTGGCGGGTTCCAGGGCCCTTTCGCGGGAGGAGACGATCCTCGGAGTGAGCGAGAGATGCCAGGGGCTGGTGGTGTCCGTCATCTGGTGAAGGTGTCATCCAACAATCGAAAATCCGCTCAGTCCATGGTTGTCACGAAATCACGCGCCAAGGCGAACCAAGGTACAAATCTGCCTGGTTGTCTCCAGTGCCTCTCTGCAGTTTCAAGCTGAAGGTGATCGAACTCCTCCAATGTTGGGACGCCGCTTGTTGCATAGTTGGTGTTCCCTTTCTTTGGACTGGCATGTGCCATAAGAACGGGCATGGTTAGATCATCTTGATGGACAACAATGCAGGTCCATTGTTCAATATCGTTCTGTGAAACACACTTGCATCTTTATGATGTTTCTTTGGTTGAGCAGTCCTCTCTGCAGCCACCCAGGCTTCGACCAACCGCCGGCGAATGGAATCCTTAGCGCCGGACGGCCTGTGTGAACAAACCGCCTGGTCGATCATCTCAACCTGCTTCCAACGCACACACGCAGAACCACCCGTACCACCCACCCGAATCCAACCAAGCCACCTCCAGTGCACAAGGTTGGGAAGTCAGCCGTAACAGGAGGCCGGCAACCTGATCATGCAAAGCCAGCTCCAATGTTAAGCCGCACCACACAAGAGCTATCCACTTAGCCAGTCTGGGTGGGGGAGCCTGGCTGCAACATGAAGCAACATCGACCCTCACTGACAATTGACCCGCTCCAAATTCGGCCCTTCAGCCCTTAGCCTGCCGGATGCGGGCCAGGCATCGACGGAGCAGCCAGCAACACCCCATAGCTGGATACCAGGGGCGTCATCAATTCCGATGCATGAAAAATGCTGTCAAGCTGGCTGTGGCGGTTTGATAGTCACAAGGGTTTCTTACAATAACTCGTTTGTTGCAACAAGCAGCCTGTCACCCTTGCATGCGGACACGTTTAACTTCGGCTGTGAACGTTGACCCCTCGCTTCCTCCCTTTGGACACAAATGTTTTGGCCGGAAACAGGGCCACACAACAAATACTGTCAAAACGGCACAACCATGGACCAATTGTTCGCACCTTCACGTGTCACAGCGCAATGAAAGGAACGCCACCGCCGGCTGATTTCTTGGCTCTTTCACACACGCGCTCGCCTTTCCCGAGCCAACGCAAACACACGAGGAACCATCCATGCCAGGTGCATTGTCATATTACCAGCGAAGTGCAATCCGCGAAAAACACATGGACGACACGTCAACAGCGCATAACCAAAAAGCACCAGCTGCCAGAAAAAACTGGCTCCATTTTGTTCTTCGTGTGAAAAACCACAGCGCTCCAACACGCCTTTTTCATCTGTACCGGCACGGCCTCAGGTGGTCACGTGTCTCCTCCCATGGTCCTTCGTCGTCCTCATGAATTTCACACACCCCGGACTGTGACATGCGTGACAGTTTGTACTCTCGCTGTGCACGCTTAGCATCAAGCATGTTCTGCTCTTCCATGGTGGCCCGTTGGAAACAGTAAAGAGTTCAGCTGCACGGGTGCTGCTGCCTGCCCTTTCCTGCTTCTGGTTCTTCCACTTGAGTGGTGTCACCAGGGTGATTTTGCCTCCACGCATTGCCTTTGCAGTGGCACAAACCATGTATGCAGATTGACTCTTCAAGTCGGTTTCCGTAGCCCAAGATGCATCTGCTGTCACCAAGATGGTGAGTTGTTGTAAATCAATTAGCACAACTTTCACAGAAACATCTTTGACATCTCATGTTTCTGCTACTGTTTCAACTGTTCCATGTTGTATGTTCTGTTGGATCTTCGCTGTCATTGCGGCCAGGTCTGGCCTGGTAGCTGTGACCAGTCCAAACCGCCAGCTATACCCCGTAGTTGACTCTTTTCTGGTCAGTGGTTGGTCCTTTTCTCTTCGTCGTTCTCTACTAATCTTGGCGGTATTCAACTTCTCTGCATACTCCTTCTGTTCAATGATGAAGTCTTCGTTGGTCCCGTGAATTTGCCTGCCCAGAAATTCCCCACCGTCAGTCTTCCAATTTTTGAAAGGATACATAGCCCTGAGCTTGTCTGCAGTGTTCTGCTTGAACAGGTAATGAAAACAAGATGGAGCCCACGAACCCGAATGCAAACACGTTCGAAAAGCTACATATGTCCAAATGACACTCTTGTTGGACACTCTTGTGGGACACTCTTCTGGGACACTCTTGTCGGACACTCTTGTGCGACACTCTTGTAGGAAACTCTTGTGGGTCACTCTTGTAGGACACTCTTGCGGAACACTCTTACAGGACACTCTTGTGGGACACTCTTGTGGGACACTCTTGTAGGACACTCTTGCGGGACACTCTTGTAGGACACTCTTGTGGGACACTCTTGTAGGACACTCTTGTGGGTCTCTCTTGTGGGTCACTCTTCTGGGACACTCTCTTGTGAGACACTCTTGTACGACACTCTTGTGGGTCACTCTTACACGACGCTCTTGTAGGACACTCCTTGTGGGACACTCTTATAGGACACTCTTGTGGGTCACTCTTATGGGACACTCTGGTCGGACATTCTTGTGGGACACTCTTGTGAGACACTCTTGTAGGACACTCTTGTGGGTCACTCTTACAGGAAACTCTTGTGGGACACGCTTGTGGGGCACTCTTGCAGGACACTCTTGTAGGACACTCTTGTGGGACACTCTCGTGGGACACTCTTGTTTGACACTCTTGTAGGAAACTCTTGCGGGACACTCTTATAGGACACTCTTGTGGGACACTCTTGTGGGACACTCTTGTAGGACACTCTTGTGGGTCACTCTTGTAGGAAACTCTTGTGGGACACTCTTACAGGACTCTTGTGGGATACCCTTACAGGACACTCTTGTAGGACACTCTTGGGTCACTCTTATGGGCCACTCTTGTCGGACACTCTTGTGGGACACTCTTGTGAGACACTCAACGAGCGTTTCGCACGAGACTTCCTCAAAAAGTCACACGTCAAGTCTCCAAAACGAGCGTTTCGTAGGAGACATCCTCAAAAACTCACACGTCAAAGTCTGCAAAACGAGCGTTTCGTACGAGACTTACAAACACCCATCGGAGCACACACGTCACGCAGCCCTGCCAAGCAGTTTCGCGATTCCAGCCCCTCCAGACAACACCCGCTCACACGCCAATCCCAATGGGACAGCGACATTCACCTCTACAAAGGCACGCTTCGAGGCTGCAAAACGAGCGTTTCGTACGAGACTTCCTCCAAAAGTCACGCGTCAAGTCTCCAAAAGGAGCGTTTCGTACGAGACATCCTCCAAAAGTCACACGTCAAGTCTCCAAAACGAGCGTTTCGTACGAGACTTCCTCAAAAAGTCACACGTCAAGTCTCCAAAACGAGCGTTTCGTACGAGACATCCTCAAAAACTCACATGTCAAAGTCTGCAAAACGAGCGTTTCGTACAAGACTTCCTCCAAAAGTCAAGCGGAAACACCCATCGGAGCCGCAGCCCTGCCAAGCAGTTTCGCGATTCCGGCCCCTCCAAACAACATCCGCTCACAGGCCAATCCCAATGTGACAGCGACATTCACCTCTACCACAACTCACAACCTCACGATTCCCTGCGCGTGCCACGACTCTTTCCGCGTCCACACGTCTAACGCGCACAAAGTACTGCGCCTGCCACGAAATGTCACCTCCGTCACACCTCGCAACCTCACGATTCCCTGCGCCTGCCACGAGAATCGCACTTCCACGCCTCAAAACCCGCACAAAATACTGCGCCTGCCACGAAAGGTGACAATATCATCTCATGTGAGCTTCAACAAAATTTGCACCACACCACACGTTTGGAATGATTTCGACCCGTTCTGAGCACACTCCCATCCACCAAAATCGCCATTTCAGCTGAGACTTGTCACAAAAACAGAGCTTTGACGCCACACCCTGAAACGCAAATCCCAATGGCACGGCCACATCCAACACCCCAAAAAAACGACTCTCCAAACGCTAATCCCAATGGAACTGCGCAGAAAACTGCGGATCTCACAAAACGCTGCGCCTGTGCAGCGAAATGCATCACGTTTCTTGCGCGACATGTCATTTTCATGCAAATCACAATGTAATAGCGGCGCAAACTGACACGTGACACATCCATGAAAAGTCACTTGCAAAAGCTTCTCCCAATGGCCTCGAATTTGAGACGCGACGACGGCGACAAGCGACGAGAGACGACGACAGACGACGAGAGACGACGACACGACGCAAGCCATGCAAACACAGCTCCAACCCCCAGACCCCCAACTATAAACGGGAACCCTTCGCTACGCATTTGCGAAAAACATGGATCCAAGCAGAACTGCTTGAGCCCCAAAACAAGGCGGTCGGCGGCACCAGGGCTTTAGCTCTACTTATGGTTTCTGCGTCTCTCTCTCTCTCTCTCTCCCCCCCGCTGTTTTAACAGGCCAATGCGCACCAGCAGTGTTGAAGTGCGTGCTTTGCCTCCTGGCATCAGATCACGTTTTACAGTCAAACCCGGTGAGCAAAAAAGAAGTCAAACATGACAAAACTACAAGTATAGACAAGTATGTGATGCTAAACACAGGACACTCTTGCGAGACACTCTTGTAGGGCACTCTTGTACGACACTCTCGCGGGATACTCTCGCGGGACACTCTTGTGGGACGCTCTTGCGGGACATTCTTGTATGACAACCACTCTTGTGGGGCACTCTTGCGAAACAGTCTTGTAGGGAACTCTTGTTGGACACTCCGGCGGGACACCCTCGTAGGACACTCTTGTTGGACATTCTTGTGGGGCACTCTTGTAGGACACTTTTTTGGCGCAGTCTTGTAGGACATTCTTGTCGGGCATTGTTGTGGGACACTCTTGCGGGGCACTCTTGTGGGACACTCTTGGGTACTCAAAACTCGACACGCTCTCACATTGGAAAAAGTCTGAGCTCTGCTTCGCCTTTGCCTCCGCTTGGGTTGAGCTTCTTGTCAGCGTGTCACGCCACGCCTTTGGTGCGTCGGCCAGTCCATATACTGCTTACTCCGCCATCAACAGGCTTCCCTCTGCGACTCCTGGCATTCCACCTGGTGGTGGTTCAATGTACAAGGGTCCTTCGTCTCGGTGTAGCTGATTTCGTTAGAGGAAAGCACTTTCCACGTCTCCGATGTTGAGTGGCCAGTTCATTGATGCACTGACTTGTAGGACAAGGCTAAGAGCTACTGTGGGCGCCTGTTTCTCGATCTTGCGCAGATCCGGGTCCTTATCCCTGGTGCACCATCTTGTTTTCTTCTTGAATTTTCCGGGTTCTTTCTCATCTGGCTTCTCTGTGATCACGAATCGCGAGGGAAGGATCCTTCCTTTCCTCCGTCTGATTTGGTGAGCTTCATGCGGAGGGATGATCTTCAAGGCCTTGTGCTTGAACAGTTTTTCCAGTTCAGCTCCTTTGCTCTCTTCCAGAAACACGTTCTCCATCTGGAATGCCTGACCCTGGTTCAGGCATCTTTGTCTCAAAAACAGAATGTCCTGTCCACTGCTGCAGCTCTGGGCGGTATTGCGTTGGCTCGAGGAAGATCTCGTCAGTCACGACTTGGTATCCATCAACACCCTCTGTTCGAATCAGAAAACATCGTTTGCCTGTCAAACATTGCAGTGGAATTGGACACGTCTTCTCACGCGGCCTGAATGGCCCCTGTTAATGTCCGTGGAACCGAATCAAGACTCCATCTTCCGTCTGTCCAGCGTCCTGCCTCTAACTCTGTTTGGCGTGTTTCGTTGTTGGTTCTGTTTGGTCTCACGCCTGCGTCAAGTCTGCTGAGGTCTTAGTCAGTGGTGTTTCACGGACTGGTCCATGGCTGCTGA